GCTGCGCAGTGACGTCAGCCAGTGCCTTCAGTACCCTCGGATGGAGCTCATCTGGGCCTGCCGACTTAAAGGCATCCAGTTCCTCCAAGTGACTCTGCACCATCTCAGGGTCTACGCATGGTAGTCTGGCACCCTGCTGCTGCCTCTCCACAATCCCAGTGAGAGACTTGTCTTGCCCCTCACTTAGGAACACTGAGGCAAAGAACTCATTGAGGAGTTCAGCCTTGTCTCCCCTGTCCGTCACCAATTGCTTCTGCCCATTTAATAGGGGTCCTATTCCACCCTGGGTCTTCCTTTTACTCCCTATATAGCTGAAAAACGATTTCTTGTTAACCTCAACTTGGAATGCCATCCTCCACTCCATGGTAGCTTTGGCCCATCTAACTGCCTCCCTACAAGCACGAGCAGAGGACGTATACTTCTCTTTGGTAATCTCTTCTTGTTTCCACTTTTTATTTGTTCCCCTTTTAGCCTGTAGGCTGCTCTGGATCTCTCTGGTCAGCCAGGGAAGTTTTCTGGCCCCTTTCCCTCTTTTTCCTCGCATCGGGATTGTCTCCCTCTGTGCCCGAAGGATCATTTATATTTCATACAAATACATTCTGTATTTGTATTTGTAGCACCTTGCATTTGTCAGCACTGAACTTCATTCTGTTAGCTTCATCCCAGCTTTACAATTAATCAGGATCTTGCAGCATCGGGCTGCTGAAGCCCTGGGAGCTTCAGGGGCCCAACCCTGCAGGACAGCACCCCTGGACGAAGTCTGTAAATGCCAGTGAAGCGGATCAGCTGAGCTGGGACATCCTGGCACAGCTGATCTCCCATCCAAAGATGACCCCTGTTTATTTTCTGAGGGGTTGCTACAACTGGCATTTATCAAAAGTTTATACCTGTGTAAATATGCAGATTTTACTAGGGCAAATGTGTGTCCCCCCACCCTCAGACAGTATGGCCTGTGCCTGAGGTATTCATGCTGAAAACTTTGTGAGTTGCATGTGTGCTACATTGAAACTTATTACAGGTAAAGAGAGTCCTGTCATATTGGATATGTAAAGGTTTTTAATCCTTCCAGAAATGCAGAGTGATTGTGGCAATTTTTTTCCACTAACTTATTAGTAGCCCAGAGTGACTTAGAGGTGGCCTGTACTGAATTTTAACAGATGAAAGTGATATCACTACAAAAATTAAGCCCCTATTAGAAATTGGGAAAGGCATAAAAAAATAACTCATCATTGAAAATGAGACTAAGCATAAACAACATGACTGTGCAGAAGCACTGTTGCTTTTGGAACGTAGTAGTAAAGGGGAAGATACCACTCCTTTAGAGTGACTAGTCCCATTCATTTTTAGCAGCATAAGTAATACTGTCTTCTGTAGTCATTGAAAGTACCATTTTACTCTGAAGTTGGGAAAAATGGCACCACCTGCTCCTATTTGCCACTTTATTTCAGGTGATGGTATAGACAGTGTGGCCTCATCCAGACAAGCGTGGCTATGTGGTATGTGGTGCTTTACAAAGGATGTGGAGAAGCTTGAGAGAGTCCAGAGGAGAGCCACACACATGATTAGAGATCAAGAGAACAGGACTTACGAGGAGAGGCTGGGAGGCATGGGACTCTTCAGCCTGGAGAAATGAAGGCTTGGGGGGACTTGGTGGCAGCCTATAAGTACGTAAGGGATGTACATCAGGATCTGAGAGAATGTCTGTTCACCAGGGCACTCCAAGGAAAGACAAGGTCTAATGGTTATAAACTGTTGGAAGACCATTTTAGACTGGATATAAGGAAAAACTTCTTTACCATCCGAGACTCCAGAGTCTAGAATAGACTCCCCCCAGAAGCGGTGCAAGCACCCACTCTGTATACCTTTTAAGAAGCACTTGGATGCTTATCTTGCTGGGGTGATCTGACCCCAGCTGATTTCTTGCCCCTTGAGCAGGGGGCTGAACCTGATGATCTTGTGAGGTCACTTCCAGCCCTAATGTCTATGAATCCACGTCTGTGGCGCCACATGCCACACATTCAGCTGTTTTCTGCACTGCAAAGGAGCAGCTCGGGGTTTGTTTGGGGTTTTTTTGTTTTGTTGGTGGGGGGGTGACCCCTGGGTATGCAGGGGTCAAAAAAAATACTAAAAAAAAATAGGGTGTGGCACATACAGGAGCGCAACGTGTGCCACTCAAAACCGGAGCCTGGCTGGCCAGAGCCACACTCTGGCTGCCAGAAAGGACCCCAGGTAAGGCTGCTGAGGCCAGCCTAGTGCTGGCTCCAGCTTCTCCTACCCCACCTCGGGTAACCTGCCACATGACGGAGCGCATGTGTCACAGGTGTCCCCCAGGGACAAGTAGTGGTGGCACAAGGTGTCCTGCTGCAAGTTGTCCCCAGGAAACCAAGTGTCCACACTCATGTGGACAAGGCCTGTAAGGGAAAATGCTTGTGTTTGTTCTTTCTGACTAATAATTGAAAGAATGTTTGAAATTTCCATTTGAAGCCCAGATACTTCCCTTTACACCCATGCATCCCAATGAAATTGAGGTATAAAGAAAGCCATGAAGTGGACTTCAGAATTGTTAGTGGTGCCACTGTATGGAAGGAAACAGCCCAGCTCTACTTCAGTAGTTTTGAGTTGTGTTTTGACTTTGGCAGTTAAGGAAATCATGTGGTAGATTCTTTGCTGCCCCTTTTGAGAGGCAAAGCACAAGAAGTGCAGTACTGAGGCTAGGGGAGAGCAGAGGCTTTAAACCAGCATATATCTGTTTAATTGTATTCACTTCACCAAATCATTATGGAAAACTACTAAATAGCCTAATGATTTTCAAGTAACAGGGCAACATTATCAGAAAAGAATGCTGAATTCTGTTGATTTAACCTCCCAAGGAAAATGCAATAAAGTAATTAGATTTTTTAAGTGCTTATATTTGTGTGCTTGTTTTCAGGAGTTGTGTTCATTGCCATCATTCCAACAATGTATCTCAAATTATACTTGACCAGTGCAAAACCTCATGCACTTATATGATGCAGTATAGTGACAAAACTTCAGGTATGTAAAAGTCTTTCCCACGTAACAAGAGGAAAACTCATCAGGATTCATGGTGAAATTTATCTCTGTTGTATGTTCCTGCTCGAGTATATTGTGATTTGTTTGAGGGAGAGAGAAAGAATTCACTCTTTGCTTCAGGGAGAGTAAAAGATAAATAATAACAGGAAATGTGATTGCCAAGCATGCTAAATCAGATTTTCCAGCTCCTTGAGTAGTCATATCTAATAATAATAAATCCTAGTCAATAATGTTTGAAGAAATATTTACAGAAACCTATTAAAGCATTTGTCTGTATTATTAATTTGAATGTTTGCTTTATTTAGCAGTACCAGAAATGAACAAATGAAATAAAAACATCTAAAGCCCATTCAAGGCCCAAATTTAATGAAAATACATTTGTGTGATCACTTTTTGTCAATTAATATTTTATATGTACGTTTCCATTTTAAAGAAGCCTGTAACAAAAAAATTGTAGTTGGGACTTCTGTGAGGGAGCTATAGAATTTAATGGTGTGAGAGACAGCTGGGCCCAGTAAAACAGTGCTGGACTGGGAATTGGGAGACTTTGGTTCTATTCATCACTGGTATTGCTAGGTTTGAAAAATGGATATATCTATATTTTGGAATCTCAGAACTATTGGATTTAATTAAAAAAATATTGTGCATAACAAAAGTTGGGCAACATACAAATATTTTTTCCTTCTTAATATATGATCAAATTGACCTAAATAGAAAATATTTCATCATTTAACTCAGTCATCTCTTAAAACTTTAGTATTTCAAGTTCCTTGACAGAATTGCCATCCAATGATTTATGCAAAGTGGTCTGAGTTACATTACCCCAGACCAAACAGAAGTTCACTGTTGGTTCCAGAAGGGAAGGGAATCTAGTTGTGGGCTGGGAGCCTGCAGTCGGTTTCCCATGGTAGCGGCCAGGATCCGTGCCAGTGCTTGTTTTTTTTATAATAGGAAGGGAGAAAAGCAGCAGAGGGAGCTCCTTCTTGGACCCCACCCCCAGCTGGTGCTGAAGGGTGGAGTAGGTGAATTGGAGCCCTCCCACCTCTGGGGTGCTATGCATAGACATGGGAGCTGAAAAAACTGCAGACTGAACTTCCTCTGCTCCCTTTCATCCCTCCCATTCTGAAAACAGCGACAGGCTGGGAGCTCCACAGACACAAATTACAAAAGACACTACATTTTGAAACATCTTAGATTTTCACTTGATCAGCCATTATTGAAGTGGTATTGAAGCTACCTTTCTTCTTCTCTTTAGACGGTGTGCGCTTTGGGCAGAGATTGTTTCATGCAGTGTGTTTTTTATGATAGCTAACAAAATGGGGCCTCATCTTAGTTAGGCCTTCTTGATATTAATGTAATGGAAATATAAATAATGTTACAACCATCTATCTATTCATCATCTTAGCTGGAATTACTTTTCTTGATAAAAGCAACTTTAAAAGTATCTGACATATAATAATACAAATAATTCCCCTTTCCTCATATACTTCAGTAAATAGAGTACTCTTTTGTTTTATTTGGTTGAATTAATCTGTGCTAGGTTAATATCTGCTGTTAAATTCAGTTTGTTTAATGGATGTACCTTGTCAGTATTTTAGGTTTACGCTTTTGTTTTCCTTTTATTGCAGAATGTTTCTCTGACCCAAACTACTTTAGAATCTTTATCATAATCTTAATAGTAACATTTCTGATTGGGTTGCTTAATGTACTTATCATCAGGCAGATAATCCTACAATGGAATAACAATAAAATTAAGTCCCCAGCTGATTACAGAGTATCTTCAACAAAGAAGGTAACTGATTTTAGAGAAAAACATATTCAGCACTTTTTTCTTATATATAAATGTTAGCTAATTGTTGATAAAAAAAATTGTATCTTCTCCTTTAAGGATAAGATGTTTTTGCCTACTGTTTGTACAAGAACAGTAACATACAGACGTGACAAACCAGAAGATATAAATATCGACATCAGCAAGTTACGATTAAATGAATCTGTCACGTGTGAATTCTGAAGACTGTTTTCTGCAAATCTGTTTCCTACATTTACACTTTAAAAAAAGTTATCTTTTTACTTTGTAAGAGTCTTTACTGACTTTTTTGTGTCATGGACTTTGTTGAATACTGTAAGTGACGTGTAAGCATATTCACATAACGTGACTATGTTTGAAGTTATAGCTGCTGTATTTTTGAAAGAGAAATGTGCATTACTACTGTTTCAGACCATTAGTGTTGGTGTAGCACTTTAATGTAACCTAATTTATTTAGTTATGGCATAGAATGTAGATATGAACAGGTGTTTGACAAAGCACTGATCTCACTTTACATGTAGCTGTACTGATGTGCTCTGGGATGGGTAAAACTGTGACACATTGCTGTACATTGCAGCGGAGTAGGTGGAAATATGGGAGTACTTGTACACAGAGCAAGTATAGTTGTTTTTATTATTCTTATTTCAGAGTTAATACCAGTTCCAATGATCTTGTACTCTTTTGGCATCCCGATTTTCTCTTAGTTCCTTTAACAAAAAAAAAAGACTGGATTAAATGAGTGCTTAGTTACTACTGGTATTTTTTAAAAATCTACACATTCTTTTGTCATTTAAACAAGGTTTATTCCGTATACATGAAGTGAATATATTTCAGTATTTACATTGGAACAAACAGTAACCTTTTTTACATATATTAAGATCAACAAAAACTATGTCAGTACAAAAATATAGGATATTTTTTGTTCTTTTTACTGCCTTGCCTGCTTTATAACAATTAAACACTCCAGTTAAATTCAGCTCTGAGCTTAGCAAGAGCAGCTCCATTGAAGTCTGAGTTACACCAGAGCTGCATTTAGTCTCCTAGCCCTGTCAGTATTTGGTAAAGTAATGGCTCTTGAGTCATTACTTTGCTAAACACTGACAGGGCTAGGCAGCCAAATGCAGCTCTGGTGTAACTCAGACTTCAGCAGAGCTTCTCTTGTTCTGTCGGGGGCATCTACACATGTACTTTACTGCGGAGTTAACTAATTAGCTCCACAGTAAAGTGTCACCATCTGCACATGCGACACTATTAGGCTGGAGTAAACTAATTAAATCCTCTGTAGGATAGTACTGCCCAACACAAGTATTATCCTACGATGGAGTTGTTTACTCTGCTGCAACAAGAATCTAGATGGTGACCGGGACTGACTAGGACATGAGTACTACAGTGCTAGGGCTGCCTGCTGGCTACCCCCTACTGGAACACCCTCATGCCCCAGCCAGCCCTTCTGCAGCATGTTAAGCCAGGGCAGAGGAGCTCAGAGCTGGCAGGCTGACCCCTGAGGCCCGCTGCCACCTAGGGCTATGCTGCCCTGGCTCGACATGCTGCAGTCCCAGGTGCACGTGTAAACCCTGTGCCCAGGAGCAATACATTCTGGTGTGAACTGCACTGAAGTTTATTCAGGTGCATTGATTGCATGTGTAGATGCGCCCTTTATCAGTTTTTTTTTCTACACCTGCTACTTTTTTGTGTAAATTCATAGAACTAGCTGGCATGAATCCCTCATTTAACCACCCATGTTTTTCTGATGGGCAGTAGAAGAAATATGTGGTGTGTAATGGGAAGATATCAGTATCTTGGGGGGTGAAGGGGGTGACGTAAACAGTACTGAAAAAAGGGAGGATGGTTTCCAAGAGAGTAAGTTAGCTGAATTCACTGATGCTAGATAACGTTTATCCTTTGAAAATTAGCAATTATTTTTTTTTACATTTAGTGGGATCAGTGTGGGTGCATATGAGAGTAGAACTTGCATCACAGAATAAGTTGTGCTTAGGCCCTAACCTTAAAACCAACTGTAATGTCTTATTGAGATGTGTTGTATGAAATGCACAGCCAGCAGAGTCTGGCATATTTTATGTTGCCATAGAAGTAGGGAATTCTGGTAATCCTTTTGAAATAAGTAATGAAACCTCACTGGGAACAAAAGTCCCCTCAGATAACAGCATACAGTTGCACATGGTGTCTGTTCTGAGCACAATACTTGTCTATGCCTATTATAGAGGAAAGAACAGAAATGAGGGGGCATGTTATCTACAGATGGAATAGAATAGATGTCTTGCTTGACATTTTTGATAGCTTTCAAAGGAATTAAAAAACCCCAAACAAACAGGTCCCAGTTCTGTGTACAAGCTATTCTAGGTGAAATCCATGAGAATGTGCATGTAGGAGGAGTGCAGGATTTGGAGTAGATCAGCATAATGGCAAGTGTTTCATAGAGAGAATTGCCTAATTCATAAACTTAAATCAGGGTTGGGAGGGGGGATAATTAAAAAGACAATTGCTGTGACTTACCGTTGACATTTATCTACAAGCTCTAGGTTTCAATAATGGAAACTGGATACTCCTCCTTAGAGAGCCACCATTAAATATGTCAGTGGCACTCTTCCTAGTGGTATCAGCTTCAGATCAGACAGATTCAAAAGCTTCTCACAAGAAAATGGAATCTCTTACAACACTTTTATTTCTGGTGTTACAGTGATAACCTGATTTTTTTCGTTAATTAGATATTACTGAAAAACACTCCATGATGACTCGATCACATCTTAAAATTTATGCAATTGTAATGATTTTCCTTTATGATGCACTTTGTGGGTCTTGGTCCTTTTTTAGTGGAAGTTAATGGACTATTCAGTACTGACTTCATTGGGAACAGGATAAATACTAGGGCTGTGCGAAGCTTTGAGTGCTGATTTGATTTGGAGGAGATTCGGCCCAATTCGGTGGCTGAAGCTTTGAATCGAGTCGGGAGACCAATAAAAAGGTCTGAACCAATTTGAAGCCTCTGAATCAATTCGGAAAAGATTCAGAAAAAGTTTTGGCAATTCGGGCAGCCCCCACTCATCGCTGCAGGGAGCTGAAACCGGGCTCTGTGCCGGTAAGTAGGGGGTGGGCAGGGCAGCCATTGATGGGGCTAGGAGAGCAGATGGGGGACGGGGCCTGTTTGATTTGGAAATTCAGCCGATTTGGCAGCGGCTGAATCTCCAAGTCAGATTTGGCCGAATCAATTCGGGACGGTGATTTGAATCACCAGATCAAATCACTGTCCCCCAAATCATCCAAATCCGAAACGAATACTAGCTGCTTTGCACAAGCCTAATAAATACCTATGAGAAACAGACATACTGAATATTCTCTTTACCAGGGTTTTTTATTTTTTAAAAGGAGATGGAAACAGTATACAATCCATTTAATGGAGCCAAAAAACTTTATTCATTTAAGAACCTTTGTATGTTTCACAAAACATGCAACATTTTTCTTAAATAATAACTTACAAGGCATAGGGGTTTTTTTTTACCTAATTCTTCTCTGAACAAATAATTCATTTTACAAAATAGTTCTTAGAAATTAGAGTACTTAATATCATTGGTTTGGTTTCAAATAATTTTGTCTCTTCAGTATTAATGGAAATCAAATTAGGGAAATTGAGGCTTTGTACAGAGGAGACAAGCAGCTGCATGATAACATCTTACCTTCCGAAACCATGGCACATCTGCTGCTTTCCTTCTGTAGTACGTTGTTGGAAGTCCAGATCTTTTCAAAGGAGACCTGGTTGGCATGTTGCAGTCAGAACACTTACTCAGTGCATCACAGTTCCCTCACAACAGTGAAGAGAGCTTAAATGCAGATTGCATTATAAGCAACTGCTCTACTGAGTAGTAGTAAATCTTCCTTCTACTTCCCTTCCCTGGTTTTATTGTACCATAAAGGATGAGTGAGTTATTGGCAAAGAATCAGTTCCTAACCACACAGCAGGCCAAGAGCTAAACTTCAGCTAAATGACAAGACATGAGGTCATTCAGCTAGAATAAGGTCTTTTCCGCAGAGCTTTGTTCCTCCAAATGGGTACTGTTCATATAAATCAGGGCCTTGCCTGCTAGCTGTTCCTTGGAACTAGTGGCTGAGCTATTCAGAAGGGCTCCTGCAGGAAAGAAATAGCCCAACGAAATCTGTACTATTTGGGTATTCTGTGCTCTACTTGCACGTGCCCTTCTTAAATGAGAAAGCACTTAGCCCACAATTTACAAGGAGCTTGTTGAGCTCTTACAGTACAGTGCCTGTGCAGTTACTCTGTGAGGTTGTGCAAACAACTTGGTTTCTGCAGTTTGTTACTATTCCTTCTTTCTGTATTGTGCCTTAAAGGAGTTCACTGTAAAAAAAAAAACAAAAAAAGACTTGATCTCTAAATAAGTCATTCTAGATTTATTAGAGAGAACTTTCTGGGAAGTGATGCAAAAGTAAACCACACAGCTTTAAAATACACAACATTAAACACACACGCAGAAGATGCCATTTTTGTATTGTTACCTGATCATTAAGACAGTGATTTTTTTTTTTCATTTTGCCACCCCCCCTTCTCCAAGAGCACAGCATTTATATGAGTAATCACTAAAAAAATGTTAAGCTGCAGTTAAAAACCCCCTTGAATGGATTACTGTAAACTGAATCCTTAAATGTAAGGAGAATTGGGTTTATTCATCTTTAACTACTTGTTTGTATACATTTCTGAAATGGCGGATGTTTATGCATTGGGGAAATGTACAAATTTTACTTCAGTTTTTTTAAGGACACACAAGCTGAGTCACTGTAATACTCTTGATTATTTCCAAGTGCTAAGAGCACATTAACAGCACCATCGTAAATGAGTGTGGGAAAATAGTTTTTTCATCCAGAAAATGTGCACATGGTATGTGTGGAATTTTTATTGTGCCTTATTGAAATTCCCTTTTGTTTGCAAGTTGTGTTTATAAAGGAAGGGCATTTGCATGACTTTTTTTTTTCTCCTGTGATGATATGAATCCCCTATGTAAAATGTCTTGAAATGCATTGGAAGAAATGATTTTCTGTATGTAATATATGTTTGTTTTTTTCCAAATCACATAGAAGAATCTGTTCTTCTTGACAGGTGTATGTGATTGTGAATGTGTTGCTACCTGTAGGAGTGAATCTGAAACTTTACAGTGTATCCCACCTGACCACTTATGGTGCCAGGAAATGCCCTACTGAGATGTATTATGCCCTGCTCCACATTTCCCAATCCCCACTCCCCCAAACTAGAAGTAGTGCAACCACCTTAATGTAGTGCTATGTGTGGGCTAAATGGCTCTACTGAGAGGTTGTGTTGGCCCCGGTAGGCCTCAGACTCCAGTAGGATTTCATGGGACCTTGAGTAATATAAGGCTTAACTGGAAAAGTGCACATCTGACTGATACATCAGTGCTGAAGGAAACATAGGCTGTCCTGCCTAATTAGAAATTAAATTCATCTATAATGTTCATGCCTGGGGTTTTAAACAGCAGAATAAGATTTACATAATAAGCCATGATGAAGCAGTAGTTAGGAGGGATGCTACTGTTTTAACATAGCCCTGCATTTGTTCGATGCACAGGCCTCTGATGAAAGTTAAAACAATTCAGAGTACAGATGGTAAGAAGAAGCTAAAATGTTCCTAGTATGAATAATTTGTATAGAGGAGACCAAATCAAAGGATGCTGTAGACTGTGGAAGTCCATTCAGAACTAGAGCCAGTAGAGTTTAACTTTCTTCAAAATGCTTCTTTCTGAAAGTACCGGTATATATAAAAAAACAAACAAACAAAAAAACCCCAAGTTGTTCATCTTTTAAGAATGTCTTTTCAGCAGCTTTTCCTCTTTGATTTTCTTTGTATGTTCTTGAAACAAGGTACCTGCTCAGGATCCACAAATTTGAATAAAATGTCTGGTTTTTTATAAGCCAATATCTGTGTGGGAATCCTAAGGCTATTTGAGTGAATGGAAATTTCTAATTTCACTCTGGTACCTCTTTTATCCCCATTAAGGGACATTTAGTGTTAGCCACACTCACTATGCTAAGGTCTATTTCACATTTACCTACAACTGCTTTAAAAAAAATGAAGCTACTTAAGTCTCTTATTTAGCTATGGTATGACAGGATTATTAATAATATAACACATTTTGTTTTGTATTTAACATATACTGCCTTTGTGGAGGAAAATTAACTGACATTTTTTAGATTAAAACATTTTGACACAGAACATTTTAGGAAAGGAAATAGGTTTTTAAATAATTTGTAACTTTTATTGTTCATTCCTGCTTTAAACAATACTTTAAAATAAATCACTACTTTAGTTTGTCTGGAAATAGACTGGATTTTTTATTATTTAAGATAATATAGATAGTAGGTAGCTGTTTTGTTAATTGTTTTTGTCAATGTTTTGTTAATTTCAGTTGACTACTAACTTCTATTTTGATATTTATTAATAAATTGACACTGTAGCATACTGAGATGTTTATTTTTCTATCAGAGCTGTAACAATATGACATAGCATTATTTTAATGCAACATTATTGTATTTGCTCTCTAAAAAATAAAACCAGTGTTTAATGCACATGGAATTTTATGTTTTGTAATATATTAATTGCACTTTATCTATGATACTTTAAGAAGAAGAAGATAGCTCTTAACCTTGCTTTAGAACTGTGACGGTAGTCTGCCCTCTAATGAGAAGAATAATTTCAACCAGCCTAAAATGGTGTAGACTACATATGGAGTAACGGACCGACATCTGAAAAAGACGCACGTTAAAGTTATGTAAATATAAAATTGCATCCTAAAGCCTAAACTGTCTGATAGTGTAGACAGGAACATACCTGTAAACTGATTTCCAGCAGTAAACACACTGGAGGGAAAGCTGTCTTTCTTTATTCTGTCCCCTATGAAGCATTGCTGGAACACCACTGAACAGATCATCTCTGATCTTCAAAGGGATATGACTGGACATAGGAAAAGTTTGAGGCATGGTTCACTTATTAATTTGGGGCTAACAATATCCCTCTTTCTGCTGTATACACTATTCTTACTTTCTATTCATGTTAGCTAGTCGGGGGAAGGTTACACAGAATGTGGGTAAACTTTTGAATATACACTTGTATTTACTTAAAACGTAGTTAGACTGCTTTAAGTTGTGACAGAGATGTCTATTTTATTCTTGTGTAGGATTTGGTCAATATTTCCTCTACAAAATCCAGTGCTAACCCCTTAACATGAAAGGGACTTCAGACACTGGGTGCATCTAGGTGAAATTAAGCAACGTGATAAACTCCAGAGCAGTTTACACCAGAGTATACTGCTCCCAGGCGCAGCGTCTACACATGCGCCTGGGACAGCAACTCTTTTAGCTAGGGCAGAGCAGTCCCGGGCTGCCTGCAGGATCTGTGGGGGAGGTCCCCCCTGGGCTCTGGGTGGCAGCATTGTGTGGCAGAGGGGCTGGCTAGGGCATGAGATTGTGAAACTGCAGAGTTGTGTGACTAGACGGCAGGCAGGAGTCTGTCCCCCTGTTGCCTGGGATGACAGTGCAATTGTCACCCATAGTCACCAGCTACATGTGTATTTAGTTGCACTTAATTATTTTGCTATAAGATAGTAATGTCCCTGATGGTACTTTCTAACAGTGGAGTTAATTAGTTTACTGCAGCCTGATATTGGTGCACATGTAGACTGTGATGCTTTACTGCAGAGCTAATTAGTCTATGCCAAAGTAAAGCACATACACATACATAGATGCACCCACTGAGCATATCTACATGAGATGTTTCATAGTTGTTAGAGGCTGGAAGGGTTTACTGCAGAGTTACCTAATTAACTCCGCAGTAAAGTCTCGGTGTCTACACACGTGCCCCTATTAGGCCACAGTAAGGTAATAATGGGGCTAGCTGGGGCACAAGGGTACTTCAGTGTGGGGCTGCCTGCTGGCTAACCCCACACTGGATCACCTTCATGGCCCTGCCAACCCCTCTGCATCATGTTGAGCTAGGTCCGAGCAGCCCTGGGCTGGCAGACTGATGCCCTCTCTGGGCCTGCTGACAGCCGGGACTGCTCCTCTGACCCGGCTCAATATGCTGCAGTCCTCTGCTCGTGTTTTCCTGCCATGGCAGGGGGTCGGACTTGATGATCTGCTCAGGTCCCTTCCGACCCTACCAGCTTTGAAACGATGTGTAAATGCAGTGCCCAGGAGCAATGAACTCCAACATGAACTTCACTGGAATTTATTCAATCACATTAGTAGCATGTGTAGATGTGCCCACTGTGTAGTAATGATAGCCAAACTGCTTTAAGAACACCCCTAATCAAAAACAGAGACAAGAAGGTCTAAATGAGCAGAGCCATTACAAAATTGCACAAAACACAATACTAGCAAATTTCACTTTTTAGCTTTGAGGATGAAACACAATTTTCTAGTATGAACTAATTTTTGCTTAGTGGAAGCGAAAACTGCATAGCAATGTTGGGAAGAGAATTAACAGTCAAGTGAAGGCTGCTGTGCTCATGACAATCTAAGTGACTTGTGATCCCCTGGGCTCAGCAGTGCCACAGAGAAACATGGGAAAAGATAGAAGGCAAAACAAGAAGAAAATTCTCAAACGACCATAAAAGGATAGTCATTTGTCCCCCAACTTTTTCTGTATGAAGAATGATAAAAGAAGAATTTAATAACTTTAGCAGAAAAGAATGAAGTTGCTGTGGTACTGTCAGAGGGGAAAGTCTGCATTTTAAAAAATGAATAAATGTAGGTACACACCTAGCTCCCAAGTGTATATCAAGCATTATGAACTGCAAGAAATACAGGATTTTTTCCATAAAAGCTCTTGCATAGAGAAAATTGTTTTTTGTTTGTTTGCTTATTTGTTTTATTCATCATGTAAAGCATTTGGTTCCAGATTTGAATTACATGGATATAGACATAAAGTCTATTTTGCTACAGTGCAACCTTTAAAAAGTCAGTGTTAACTGTTAACCGTAAGAATCTCCATTAACAGTGATCCTAGTAGCAGCCTATGTTGTGAGCCTCCTAATCTTCACTCATGTTATGGAATAATGGTAAGTGACCTTGTATGAAACCTTTATTTATTTCCATGTAGGATGTTGTGAAATACAAGTATCATATAATATGTAGCACTCATTTATTTTGTTTCCCCCCTTGATAGTCACTGGGCCTGATTGATGGGGAGCAAGAGAGTCTGATTACAGTCTAATGCTACTTCTATTGTATTACAGACGCCAATGACAAGAAAAAGCCTTGCTGTTCAAGCTCTCCAAAGAGCTAAATTACAATCTCTAAAGCCTGAAGATGAAAGAGGGCCAGATTTCAATTGCTTCTTCGACAACAATGATGTAGGTACTTCCCTCATTGTGGAGTTTTAGTGTCTGCATGATTCCCACTGTGGAGAGAACAGGATTTGATCTAATCTGGCTAAAGAAGGGGAGGAAGAGTATACATATGTCTGTGATCTTGCCATAAAGAATGTTTAGTACAGCAATGGTTTGAAGGAAGTTCTTAATATGCATAGCAGCAGCTTGGCAACTGCAAACTGATCTTTGGGTTGGAGAGAGAGAATCTATTGACATGCTGAGTACAAGTGTAGAAGAATTCATTTTGTTGCGTTTGTTGTTCTTCCAGATCTGCAGTAAAGAAAAGAACCTTGGAAATGCAGTCTTGCTCCTCTGGGTTTAGAAGAAAAATATTTAATGTACCGTATGTTTATAAATAAAATGTTAGTTTTACAAAAAACTTGGTTGCCCTGAAGTTCTTTTAGATTGGCTAAATGCTCAGCTCTGTAATCATAAGCATATATCTTCTTCCACTGTAGCTCCTAGCTTCCATTAATGCTGCTGGCAGTTCTTGTGTGCATCCAATAGAACTGGCCAGTTTCAAAAGGTATTTGGATGCATTATGTGTCTAAACTTCCATTGATATTAATGGTGCCTAAATAGCTTCTTGAATTTGGCCCTAAATGTTATACGTAACCAGGTAAGTTCTTAAAATCTGATCCATTTTGGTCTTGGAGGTACCTACAATTAGGCTTCCCAGTGACTCAAATCTAGATACTTCAGCCAGGGATTTGACACACTTAAAGGCACCTTCTCCAGGCATCCCTCACTGGGTCCTCCTTTTCTGTCGCATCAAAGGCTACTTATCATCACTTTCACACCCATTCATGGCCTATCTCCAAGCTAATTGCCTCATAATGCCAACCACCATCACAGACATCTAACTGCTCAAAGAAGTTCCTTTAGACTCCCTCCAATGCTTTTCTCTGTGTGGAAGGAATTCCCCATAAATACTTTCAAAGTTTTTTTTTTTTCTGTCATATTCCTCTTCAGAGTTTTCTAAAAACATGACAGTGGTTAGACTGCTAATACACTGAGACCACTGCCAAGCATGGTAACTGATACTGTCTCTGTTTCCCTGTATTTTCCCCCATGAGTAAGGCACCAAAGCTGATTTCTTGCCTTTAAATTTATATTGTAAGCCTTTTGGGTCAGTAAAAGAATAGGGCCTGTGTATGCATTATGATTATAGGTTTATGTATATAAACATAATACATACACAGGCCCCATTCTGTGTGTGCGTGTATATATGTATATGTATGTGTGTGAGAGATAGATATATATATAGTAGATGCATGCATCTTGATGGGGAGGTTATAGAAAGAAAAAAATAGGTCAACATTTTTCTGTTCTGTGTCAAAAAGTTATGATGGCGAATGAGTGCATATTTCTGCAAACTAGCAGAAAGATTAAAATAAAATAGTTTGCAACATAAAAAAGGGGAAATATACCACATATGCAACATGCTATCAAGAATAAAAACTGATTACATCAAGTTTCAGCAGAAGGGAGCCAAGACCTTGGGTTACAATGGTTTTATAGACAAACTTTGGTTCCTTAGATTCTTTTCTGTTTTGTTTTAACTTGATTGTTTACAGCATCTCCAAAGTTTCAATGGAGAAAACTCTTATCAAGTGGTTTAAACATGAAACTAGGAGTCGGAAGGTCTGGCTTGCTCCCTGCCTTGACTCTGTGTGTGACCAAGCAGTCACTTAATGGATTTAGAATAGCTGACCACCAAATATTCCAGTTCAAGTCAGCTGGAACTGGAAGTGCTTAGTGCCTTTGAAAATCAAGTCCTCAAGCTCTTCTCTGTAATTGGGTATGCTATTATAACACTGAACTTACAGAAATGATGATGTTAATTAATGTTTGTAACATTGTAATTCCCCATTAAAAGATCAAAAGATTACACTAGTTACTTTTTATTTTACAAAAAAAATTTTAAAAAGAAAGGAAAACTATTTTCATTCCCTAATTTGATGTTCCCAGTTTGTTTGGGAAGCATTTGTTTGCAGAATGTTTTCACATTTTTGTATTTATCCCTATTTGACTCTCTGAAAACTGAGAGCTTGGAATGGAACTACTTAAAAATATAATGGAACATGTGGTTCATTAGTGTATTTTTCCCCTAAAAGGTTTCTGCTTTCCTGCTTACCTACTTAGCTACTTTTAGTCAAATGTGTTAATTAAAAAAAAAAAAAAAATCAAACTTTTCCGGAAAAAGAAAAAATCAAAAAAGGCCCTATGCTTCAGCATCACTAGGAGGAAAGTGTGTTACAAAACTTAATTACTCTCATATGAATGATGCTGACATTTAGTTACATAGTTCACATGGAATTCAAGTGCTGTATTTTGCCAAATTCTTTCTTTCATTTGATCAGTACCTGGTTACTGTGTCTTGGCTAGCATAACGTGGGCATTTGCCAGCAAATTGGAGTCTGCAATGTCTTTTCAACTAAGATAAGAAAATTGTTATTCTTTAGCTAACTTTGGCAGTGAAGGCAATGTTATAATTTTGTTATGACTACAGTGCTTAGATTACTGTGGTTTTATCCATTGTGAAATCACAAGCAAGATTCAGGTACTCCTGAAATCTCCAGAATAAATTTAAAAATTGATCTAAATTCTTGATATATCCAGAGATGATGCTATGAAGAGAGACTAACTAGAAAAAGGTGTTGGTATTTTTTAATAATACCATTGTGAATATTGTCTCCGGGTGATATAAATTACCTCTCAAATATAGTTTCAACTTTGTTAGGACTTAATGTTGTACAATCCCAAAGCACAGTGCATTTAAAGAGTAGATACTTACTGGTACGGAAAGCAATTAGCAAGTGCATAGAATGTGGCATGAGTATAAGAAAGGATAACTTTTTTCTAGGGGTATAGAGTCAGACTTCAGATATACATTTTTTGCAGCACTCCTGACCTCACAAGAGAACCAAGCTATATCCTTGGTTACTCGTTGGCTGGCTTACATCTCCCAACTACTCCTATCTCATCTTTTCTCAAGACTTTTCAGGAAAGCCAGAATAGCAAGATAGCCCGAAGTAGACCACAAAGTGAGTTTTATGTGAAATCCCTAAGCCTTTCTGCAGGATTCACATTTTGCCCACTAATAACTTGTCTCTTTGGTCACATCAGAGGTGAGGTTCCCAGGATGATGGGCACAAGAGAGGGGAAAACCTAAAAGAAGATGGAAGCAGATGAGACTGTTTAAAAAGAGTTCATCTCAAATAATGGATTCAGGATTGCCTAGGGCCTTTGGGGGTCTCTGGCATGGGTGACTTTCATGTAAGGGACTAATTATTAAGAATAAAGATTGGAACCTAATTATTTAAAGCAGGAGTGTCAAACTTGCCTGGATCCGAGGGCTGGATGAATGGTGTGGGGC